GTTAATCTTGGTGATGATACTGATACAACAGCTGCTATTTATGGTCAGTTAGCTGGTGCTTACTATGGATATAAGAAATTACCGGAACACTGGCTTCAACATGTTTATGCTCATGAATTTATGAAAACATTAAGTAAATGGATTGTATACGAAGGAGAACAATGGGAACGTAAAAATCATTAAATCTTTTAGCGAAGAATAAATCAGTAGAGCTTGACATTACATCGAAGAACTTCATTTAGTATTCATGATCTGTATTATGTCAAAATTAATAAAATAAATAATTATTGTATTGTTTTATCATAAAATATTTTAATTTATTCTCTATTTCTATGACTTATATATGCATACTAGAATTTATTTGAAGTTAATCATGATCATTATTGTAAAGAAAAGATATATCGAAATGAGTATATAAAGTTATACGATTCTTTATTTTTAGATTATATTTATATTGATAGTTATAAAATATGTTAAAATTCCCATCTCCATATGATAAAATTCTTCCTGATCAAATTAAAACTGAGAAAACACCTGAATATAATAGAGACAATAATATCTGTAATCAAATTATTGGTTCACTTGTAGGATTGGCTATTGGTGATGCTTTAGGAGCGAGTGTAGAATTTCGTCCACAACAATATCTTGCTGCTAATCCCGTTAGTAAAATGCAAGGTGGGGGTACATGGGGCCTGGATGCAGGTAAATGGACTGATGATACATCAATGGCATTATGCCTTGCTTCATCATTAATTGCTGAAAATGGTTTTAACCCCTATAATCAAATGGTTCGTTATAAATGGTGGCATAAACATGGATATTTTTCATCGACAGGACATTGCTTTGACATTGGTAAGGCAACTCGTCAATCTATTGTAGAATTTACATTGCGTCAAGAAATTCTTAAAATACCTTATCGTTGCCGTAATGAGTATGAAGTTGATACATTGACATTGGATTCTATCGAACGTATCAAAGATTTTAATATGTATTGCAGTGAAGAAGATTCTGCTGGAAATGGTGCTCTTATGCGTCTTTGTCCTGTACCATTATTTTATTTTAAAACACCTGATATTGCTGTTGAATACGCCGGTCGTAGTGCTTTACTTACTCATTCCGATAAGAAAGCAGTTGATGCATGTCGTTATTATGCAGCTCTGATTATAGGTGCTCTTAACGGTTACGATAAAGATGAGTTACTTCATAAAGACTTTTATAAAAAAAACAAACATTGGTTCGGTAATGAATCAATACATGAAGATATTATATTAGTTGCTGAAGGATCATTTAAAAAGAAAGGTGGATATGAACAAGGTATTCGTGGAAAAGGCTATGTTGTTAACTCTCTCGAAGCTGCTCTATGGGCTTTTTGGTCTGATGGAAACTCGTTCGAAAAAGGTGCTCTTGCTACCGTTAATCTTGGTGATGATACTGATACAACAGCTGCTATTTATGGTCAATTAGCTGGTGCTTACTATGGATATAAAAAAATTCCAAAAGAATGGTTAGACAAACTTTATGCTCGTGAATTGATCGTCTGTATGGGTGAATGGCTTCATTTTCAAGGTAGTCAGCGTGGATTGGTAGATTTCTTACAATATTCTATTACATCACCTTCGATCTTAACTGAAACTTCCAGATCTCAAGAGCAGAAACAAAACCAACAGACTGCTAGTGCAGCAACAGCATCGGCTGAACCAAATAAGTCCAAAGATGCTAATGTGAATAATAAATCTAATAATATGAGTTACTCTAAACAATTATCAAACTCTATACATTCTAATGATTTAGAATCTGACTTTGATGGTGTAAGTTCATTTATGTCAAGCAATGACCAAGATACTTATACACGAAAGACACATACATATGGATTTTATCGTAATAATTCAAAGAATTAAACTTTCTCATAATGACTTAAAGTATTTAACCTAATAATGAAACAGTGAATGATTTTTAATTGAATTTTATTTTATTTTATATTGTATATAATGATGATTTAACGGATTATTGATTAGTTTCATTTAGAGTAAGTAATATATGAAAAATGATATTTCTTTTATCGTGTATAATTATCAAATCTAACTGTACAGTAAAACTAATAGAAATAATTCTTTGGAAAAAAAACGAAGATCTCTGAATCATTTTGTAACATGATGTATAAAATGAAATATTTTAATAAATAGTTTTTCAGTATTAAAATATTAAGAATAAGATTAATCATAGAGATATGAAGATGATTTAATAAAACAACAGAACACCAAAAAATAATAGAAATATTCTTAGTGAATATATATATATAGTTTATATTTTTATTAAAGTTCTTTTAAAGATTATTGACATATTTATCTCTAAGACTTCGTAATTCATTAATAAGACCTTCAAAACCTTGAATTAATTTTCCATATTCAAAAGTAACTTGTTTATTTTTCTTCAACCAATTAATTTGAATCCATTCAGCTCCTCCATCAGCACAATCTGGACATCCAATTGTATCATTTAAAGTTTGAAAACTTTTTGAATCAATAAGACTAATTAATTTTTGCCATTCATCTGATGAAATTGGATATTGTTGTTGTACAGATGGATATTGAGTTTGAGCAAAATTTGGTTCTTTTAAAGCAATTAATTCATATGGATTTGAAGTTATATTAATTGATCGACGACAATAAGTAATACATCGGCCAAATGATGTTCCACTTGCAATTGATAAAATCTTATTCTTACTATTGCATGTACCATTTATTTCTGTTAACAAAACAATAATCAAAAAACACATGTATAAATTTTTCATCATCTGCATCACTAAACGAATATTCACCTAATAATCGTATTAAAAAATATTGTTTTTTCTCTCGTCTATTATGATGAGGACAAAAAGAATAAGAATTAGATGCACGTTACTTTGTATTTATATCAACGGACTTGTCTATAGAAAAAGAAAAACAAATAACATTTGACTCATCTCAAAAAAGGAAAAAAACAATCATTATAACAAAAATAGGTTTTGAAATAAATAAAATGATTATTTTATAGACAATATTTCGATAATGCGTTTTTTTTCTATGAAATTCTACCAAATAAATGATCTATATGATAATTTCATATGTCAGCTTTTTATAATGACTGTTTTTATATCAAATCGAGTACATATTTAACGATTATTGTTTTTTTCTTATTTCAATAACACATTTTTATAAAAACAACTGAGTACATCGAACGAGTATTTGATATTTATAGATTAAACACTCAGTTTAACAAAGTATTTATTGGCATTGTTATTCAAAATGAAATTAATGAGCTGCATAGAATTATTTCAATAATTAAAAAAAAAAGTTTTTCATTATGTAGTTCTTATTTTACTATATACAAAATATTAGTTAAGCAATAAAAATGTATTATAAGAATATTTTTTATATAAAATATGATTTAAGAGAGATGAATATTATATATTTATTTAATGGTTAAGAAAATAAATATTTTTTAATATTCATAAAATGATAGAATATTTGAAACGGTCGATGTAACAAAGTAATATTTGTATTTAGATGCTTTGCCTTGAGCAAAAGCTAAATTCTGTGGCCATTGTGCTAAAACCGTGCCATTGGTTGTTAATATAAATGTTTTATTCAATGATGAACAATCAGAACATGATGAATAAAGACGTTTCGATGCATCGGTTGTAATAAAACTTGGATTATTAGTTGTATAATTAAAAATTGATGTAAATATTTTTGTACCACCAGGTGAAGCAATTGATACTTGTTGAATTGCATTTTGACTGGCTAAGTACAATATTTGACCGTGTACTGTACATGCAAATTTACGATAACTAGTAGAACCTGTATTCGTTGAACCATTTATAGTATATGCAAAAGCACCGTTCGATTGATTATAAATATTAATTAAATTCATATTTTCAAGAAGTCCAACAATATAACCTGTAACAGAAATACATGGTGTCCAAAACGGTTGACCATTGTCAATTGTTGTAGTTAACCATGAAAAATACAAACCTTGACCACCATATGCCACTATTGGTCGCATTTGAGAATCTAAATCGAAATAACCAAATAATTTTCCACTTGTTACTGATTGAATAGATAAGTAATTATCAAAAGAATATACTGTTATTAATGGTGAACTTGTACTAGGTACCCACACTTCACCTGGTGATAAAACAAATCCATTTGTATCAATATTAGAATATTGTTTAATAAGTTGAAGACTATTCATTACAGTCTGCATTGATACAGGTTGACGTGATGATGTACCAAAACAAATAGAAGCTGGTTCTTGACTTGAACCATCAATAGGACATAGATTAAAAGCCAATACAATAGAACCATCTGTTGTTGATGAGATTGTTCCAACATAACTATTTTCTTCATACATATAACATTGTTGTTCAGATGGTCGATAAGCAGCAGTACGACAATAATCATTATTTTGACATAACCATAAACATGCTTTCATCGATGAACTTGGAAATGTACCAAGAATATGACGATGAAAAGAATGAGAATAAATAGATTGTTGATAAATACGTACACGAGCTAATCGCATCGATATTAATGAAGATGACTCAATATCGATCATATTTGAAATAAATAAGAATAAAAAGCAATGAAATCGTTTAGCAAATTTCATATTATTTAGCTTATCTATTATAATCACTTGTTACTGGATCTAAATTAAACAAAAAAGGCAAAATATACAATATATATCTCTATATAAAGAATTTCTGAATCACACTATAAAGAATTTCTGAATCACACTATAAAAAATTCATTAATAATTCTTTGTTTTTCTCAAATTAATCTCATTTGATATCATGCTAAATATAAATTCTGTTTATTAACTGGAATAAAAAAATAAATTATTAAAGGATATCAAACATGAGTCGAAAAATTTATACATGATGTAATAGTCAACTTCAAATTGTGAACAGTTAGAAAGTTAAGGAAAGGTTTTGCCATGTAATTTGGTAAAAACAAAATGCAAAATTGATTCTTTTAAACTCAACACTTACATTCAAAGTTATAAGAAACATTACTAGCATCTGTAAAAAACGAGACAGAAAACATTATTGAGTGAATATAATTATATTTTAAGATTAAACAACATACTTTTATTATGTTTAAGAAAAAAAAGAAAACAAACTAAAAGGTTTTAGAAAATGATAATGTAAACGTTGGACTCAAGAATGTACTTTCACTGCTTGTCTATATTAAAAAAGAAATAAAATCCTTTTATATTGGAGTATATAATTGTTTTATTTTTTGAATAAGAGAAAAACTAAAAAATTCCACAGAGTACTAATTTACATTTGAGAGTGAAGGATATATTTCTATTACAGAGCACAAAAACTAAACGAGACGATTCTCATCGATTATATAGTGCGCATTTCAATCATTCGTAGTGCAAGTTTTTTTTTAGAAGTATAAAAATATGTTGCTCTTAGAAATAATATACAGTTGCAATAATCGATCGAACGCATATAGAATGAAAGGTTGTGGGTGAGCGTGAGGTTATAAAGAAGAATAGTAGATGTTTACATCCGCACACCTATTCATTTTGATAAATGTTTGAAATCTTTTTTGTTCTTATAAATATATTTGAATAAAGATGAGATTTTTTTGAATAATTTGATACGACGAACAATGTCTTGCTCTTAGATTTTAATTGCAATATATATTTCTATACTCAAATTTTAATTATATATCATAGTAGAAGATAATTACATGTATATCTCATTTATTCGAATGTGATTATCTATCCATAAATATTTAATAATATACAAACTATTATTTGACTTAGATTAAAATTATAACTGCTATTGTCATACTCAAAGATATTTCGGCTGAATATAAATATCAATCTAATATATTTATTCATAGATGAATAAAAAATATTTAAAATTGTACAATTTTAAATTCATTTCTATGACGAAGTTTTTTATAAGCAACATCAAAAATTGGTTCATTAATCACACCCATACGATGATAATATGTACGAGTATGAATATATGGAACAAATTCTTCAAAAGTATCTCTCA